ATTTTTGGCAAATTTTTAGACGTTATAATTCTTTCGATATATGATTGGCAATTATCGTGAGTTAACTGGAATCTTTTGTATGAAACAGGAACAACTTCAAGAACAGGCTAACCTGTGATAAGGCTATGAAAATCTCAAGCACTTGTTAGGAGAGATAAATAAATGGTGAAGATATGGGCTCTCAACTTATGTGCTATTTTATTTTATTTTTTAATTGAAATTTATAGTGTGTATGCTATTCTTCCAATTCAATGAAACTACATTTACTATATTAATTTTTCTTCTTCTTTTCTTGTAGCTAAGGTTTAAGTTTTAACCTAATCTCGAAGATCCGTGCAGTGGTGTTAATTCGGTAAAAACATATAGACTTTTCCATTGATTACTAATGTGGTTAACAAACTAATCAAATCGTGATTATACGAACACTTAAAATTATGCATTCATCCTAGCATGAACTTAAACACTTGTTTTGGTTTTGCACATTTGTAGTTCAATTTTGCAAGTGAGGGGGATAATAAAGTTACAAAGTTTAAATACCATCTAGATAAAATTCAACGAGTTTTCAACAAATATTACACGTTTATAGTTTTTTCAAGGGTAAATTACGGTCAACTTCTTGAGGTAAGGTTAAATTACGAAGAAAAAAAATCCTCTTGTTTGAGTAATTAAATTCATCCACCAACTATGAATCTTCTTACACGTCTGTCATTGTGGTGTTAAATTCAACACAATTTTTTAAATTTCATGGAATGTTCTCTAGTTTGTACTCGTTATGTGCAAAAATGCGGTTTATGATGCACCACAAATTGAAATGTACAAGCAAAACATCTTGTTCCAAAATGTGGAGCTCGAATTGGGTAAAATAGATACAAAGTGGATAATATTCTACAAAATCTAGAAGATTCCATTAAATTTGACATCGCAAGAGTGAACGTGTAATAAGATTCATAGTTGATGAGATGGTTGTAGTTACCCAAACAAAGGGGTTTTCGTTATTTTGGGTGACGGTAATTTACTATTTTTTCAATAAGGGCATTCTAGACATATCGAGTGGACAGAGAGCTAACTGTAAAGAAAACTCAAGAGGAGGAGGTGCATTATCCAAACAATACTACCGAAGACTAGCTAGTATATGAAATTAGCCAAAAGGGATTTTGGATGTAAAACCACTTAAAAGGATGTAAAACCACTTGAAAGAATTAATTACTAATTTAAAAAAAAAAAAAAGAATTACTCTAAAATACTTAAACCTTGACCAAAATACCCCTGATATCTTTGCTCCCAAACAGGGCAAACCCTAACATTTGTATGTGTGTATATATACATCGAAAGAGCTGAGCAACGAAAAAGGAAAGCATCGACCGTCACCTTCTGTGCCGCCGCCGCCACCACCACCACCACCACCCCAAACACCGCCGCCACCTCCGCATTTCCTATTTTACAGCTACTCTAATATTTAACTCCGCAAAAAAAAGAAAAAAAATGAAATTATCTCCAACTACAAGTGGTGAATTATTAGGGAGCTGCAAATACAGGGACGAGCTCCACATAATCTCGATCGACAGTGATTCGACTCTAAAGGATATTTTCTTCCACCTCGCAAGGAAATGGATCGAATTCGAAATCAACGGCCAGACTCAGATCCTCACCGTACAGTACAGAGCTCCCCACGAAAACATGTATGTGACATTGGGCGACGACGAAGACGTTTCGAATATGGTCGCGCTTCACCGGATTCTGAAAACCAGCATTATCGACATCCTCGTAACTCGAAAGGAAAACATCAATTTTTTTTCGCAGAAGAGGAAAAAAATCAGTGAAGATAGCTTCGATGGCCGTTCGAAGAAGAAGAAGAAACCAACCCACACGTTTGGGTAACTTTTTTTATTTCACTTTTGCTTGCGATTTTTTATACTGTGCTGCATTTGTTGGTGATAGTTGAATTATTTGAAATTGCTAGATGATAATATAATGTGTTTTCGTTAGTGAACTTTTAAGTACGGTTACGAATTCGTCGAATATTTAGGGATGCTAATGAGTTTAGCTTTCGAATTTACGACCATTATAAAGCCGATTCTGTATGGTTTCCTAATACTCCCTCCGTTTCTAAATAAATAGGTGTCGCTTTTCAACTTAACACACGTTTTAAAAATCTCAATAAATATGTCTTCATTTTAGGAAAATGGATTTGATTGACCAAAATACCCTTGTTACTAATTAATGCTGTTAGAGCGTTGATAAGGGTATAATTGAAAAATATGTAATTAATGCATTGTTGGAATTTTAAATTGACGGATAATATGAATCAAAAGAAATTTTCAAAAGAGACATGGAACAAAGGGAGTAATTGTAAAGGATAAATTGAGATGAGAGTCGAGTTACTACGTTGAAAGATATCCACGAAGAAAATAGAGTAGAATAACTACCACAAATTTATAGATGGATAAAGAAGGTAGTGAAGCATCACAGGCATAAAAATGAGTCTTATGATATATTAATTGGTATTGTAGTAAAAAGAAACGAATCCGGAAAGTGATTCGATAAATACGAGACCGACCCTTTATATGTTTTAATGGTCGTGTTTCTTAGGCTTTCTTGATCAATTTAGACGACTGATATTTTTGGATGAAACTCATTATTAATAAACGTGACTTAAAGGTTTGTTGATTGTTTATCTGCATGATAACATACGCGCGGTAAATGAATAACATCGAGGCTGAATGTTTGAATAATTGGGTGAAGATGGCACAATTTATTTCATCCATGGCCGATTTACATAGGAATGCGTCATCATGTAAATGATGATAATTATTAAAGATAATTTTTTTTTGTCACAGGTTTGTTAATATTACGATTAGCTTGAAAAATCGTATTTACTGACTATTTTATATTTTTACTTGCATCATTTTACAGTCACTGGATGGGTCGCGGAGGATTAGTAAACCCGTGAAAGAAAACGAAGTTTATATGTATATTAGTTGAACTGGGGTTTGTTGGTATTTTGTGATATTTGTAACAATGTGTTATGTTTATGTCACTCTAATGTTTATGTACTGATGTAACTGTGTAGTGTACTTAGAACGGCTGATTTTGTACATCTAACTTGCTCGCGATCGAACAAGATGTGATTATCGGAAACTAAGATGTTATATTATGTTTATGTCATTATGTACTCCGTTTTCATGTCTTTATACTTGAAAGAATGGCTTATTTTGTACTAAGTCATGCGTAAAATCTTCGAGAATGATCCGAAACAAGATTTGCGTAGTTCATTTTGTGCATTCTATACCTCATTTTTCACCAACACTTGATTTATAATTTGTTCTAAACCACACATTAATCTTCTAAAAATAATAAAGAACAAGATTCTATACATCACTTCTAAAATTTCTTTGAATATTGTCGACGATGAAGTATAAATCGAGAAAAGTAGCTCTTGAAAGAATCAATTGGATTGATATATTCAATAAATTATATATAAAACGAGATAATTAGCTGTGAAATATCGATTATAAGTGAGATGGCGTGATTTGATCAATCATATTCAATCACCCCATGAAGTTTATATTGAGCATATCGTTGCGGTCGATTTTCTATAATTGAATGAATGATAGAGATTTGTTGAATGTATTTCATCTGGTGTAACATGATTTTCGGGGAAAAATTCTTTCCTTTCTTAATCATATGGGGAAGTAGAAGCGGTTAGGTAAGTTATTATCTAATTACATAATTAAGGGTAGATTAGTTTATAGCTTAGTGGCCTAATAAAATGAATAAAATCCAATGAAAATGGCAGGCAAAAGATTTAAGTCAAGAATCATGCCACAATACATGTCGAACATGTGTCTACTCTCATTTGATACAATATTCTAAAAAATAATATTAAGGTTGTCTACTCATCCTTAAGTTAGTTTTTCCTCCAAATGTCAAAATATTGCATTATTTAATTTTAGTACTTATGACGAAGACTTTCTTCTTTAATCGACTAAATAATCCGCAACCACTCGAGAAAATTCCACCCTCGTCATGTAACAATAGTCAAACTGCATGATAGATGTAAACCATGTACACCAGGCTGATCGTATTTTAATATTTCGATCGTATAAATTTTATATATATTCCTTTTCTGCGTAACAATCATGCCGTATAGGAAATAAATAAGGACAGCTTTTACTCTTTTGAATGGTTTGAAAAACATGTGCCATATACATTGTAAAGGAAAGGGAATATTTGGTTTTGTTTTGGTTGTTATGATAAAACGTTTTTTTAGGTATTGGAGGGAAAAATAAGATAGGAAAAAATAAAATAGAAAATAAAGAAAAGGATAGAATGTGATGCCAAACCGAGCCACTTATCCAATTGATTTGTTATAATAAATTAATAATACGTAGGACTAGGAGAATTTATGTGTCCCTCAAAAAAAAAAAAAAAAAAAAATATATATATATATATATATATATATATATATATATATATATATATATATATATATATATATTTATAAAAAAAAAAAAAATAAA